TTAGTTCTGTAAAAACATGAATCTGGGCTGGAGAGATGGCTCAGCAGTTAAGAGTACTGACTGCTCTCGCAGAGGACCCAGGTTCGATTCCCAGCACCCACATGGTGCCTACAAACTGTCCTTAACTCCAGTTCCGGGGGAATCCAACGCCCTCTTCTGACCTCCGAGTCATTGCACGACACGGGAGCATTCACATACATGCAGGCAATTACGTATTACGTATAAAATAAAAATAATAAATAAAATATTTTTAAAAATATTAAAAAAAGATGTAGCTTTATAAGTCTACAGATTGGACAAAGAGATTAAATATCAATTTTTTAAAACAATCTCAGTTCATTCTTTTTGCTTTTCTTTTTTGAATATATTTTTTATTGCAGGCAATACACTCATACGTATAAAATAAAAATAATAAATAAAATATTTTTAAAAATATTAAAAAAAGATGTAGCTTTATAAGTCTACAGATTGGACAAAGAGATTAAATATCAATTTTTTAAAACAATCTCAGTTCATTCTTTTTGCTTTTCTTTTTTGAATATATTTTTTATTGAAGTTTTGTGTATTTTATATACAACATCTTAATCATCTTTATAGCCCCTTCCCCACTGGTACCATCTCACAGCCCCTCCCACTGGATTTCATGCATTCTGTCATTTTTGATAAGACCTATTTTTTCACAGTGTCTCACTGGGTAGCCCAGGCTGGTCTCAAACTTGTGATACTCCTGCCTCAGCTTCTTAAGCGCTGGTATTACAGGCATGCATTACCCTCCCTAGTTTTTTTTTTCTTATTAACACAGCATTTGTTTTCATTGTGTCAAACCCTGAGGTCAACCACTTTCTGTGGATTTCCTAGCAAAGAATAGGGGAAAAAAAGATATAGGGAAGACAAGACAGGGGAAAAGGCCTCTAGAAGTAGAGACAGAGTGTTCATTGATGGAGAGAATGAGACGGACAACCCGTAAGCAACAAGCTCTATGGCTTCAAGGGGTCAAGACAAGCACAGCAGAAGAGTTGTTTCTTTGGAGAAGGGTTCCTGGTATGCAAGGATGAGCTCCTGCAGTTCCAATCCGGGTCCCTGAGATGGCCACCCCAACTGTGGCAGCCCTCAGAAAGCTTGGCTGCTCTAACCATGTCCCCTGGAACTGTGCTAGCTTCAAAGTTGTAGACAAATGAGGTTAGGGAATGTGGAGCTGAGGCACCTCTCTGTTACTGTCCCTGGTCACTTCAGTACCACAGCAGACAGTGTCAGCTCAGCAGCTAAGAGGTGTGGTGGAAAGGAACTTGGAGCAGGTATAGTATTTTAGGAGGGAAGGCATTATGGCAGAATTGCTTCAGTACAGAAAAATAAAGGTCACCTCCCTGTTTTTAAGATTTTTACATCTTATTTTTAGTTGATACAGTTATTAATGAACAAGGGTTTTATTTTGTGCAATGCCTGCAGAGGTCAGATGAGGCTGTTGGATTCCCTGGGACTGGAGTTATGGACAGTTGTTAGCTGCCATGTGGGTGCTGGGATTCGAACCCGGGTCTTCTGCAAGAACAACAAATGTTCTTAACCGCTGAGCCATCTCTCCAGCCCCATGAACAAGGGTTTTAATGAAACCATTAATGATTTGCATTTATAAACCTCATAGGAAAAAAAACCTCATATAGCATGAAAGGGTTCTGATTCAAAATGCTGACTCACATAATTTCTTTCAGGTCTTAAGAAAACCTAACTAACAAAAAGCATGGGGCCGAACACTACTGGGACCTTATGCTGAGTGATCTGAGTTAGAGTCCACTGACTGAGACTACTGCAAGCCCTATTTCTTCAGTCTTTCCATTCTGCCTCCCAACCTAACCACACTGTGTATGCCAAGCAGACACTGGGGCAAAGGAGAATACCCTGCTTACCCCAGTCAGCCGGGTGTTACCCTTCATTCCCCTATGTACACATGATTAAAGAGTTATTTATTTATTTATATTTGTATTTATTTTATTTTATTTTTTTAGGTCTTTTTGTGACAGGGTCTCCCTGTAGTCCCAGCTCTCCTGGAACTCACTATGCAGACCAGGCTGCCCTCGAACTCACAAGGATCCACCTGCCTTTGCCTCCCGAGTGCTGGGACTAAAGGCCTGCTCCCTTTACACACAGAATGTGTGTGTGTGTGTGTGTGTGTGTGTGTGTGTGTGTGTGTGTGTGTTTTGGTATGTTTGAGACAGGGTCTCCCTGTAGCCCCAGCTGTCCTGGAACTCACTGTGTAGACCAGGCTGGCCTTGAACTCACAGAGATCTGCCTGCCTCTGCCTCCTGAGTGCTGGGATTAAAGGCATGTGCCACCACGCCCAGCAAGAGTTACTTTTTAAACTAAATAAAAGAAAACCTAATTAATATGATAACCCTAAGGCAGTAAATGAAAGTAAATAAAAATGGGTCAAGTGACTGTACAAGCAAAATGGTCATTTTTATAGAGAAGAGGACATTAATTGTGAAATGATTTAAGTAACGTACATACCCCGGGAGTCTTCTTAAACAATGTTGGGGTTTCTATATCCACAAATCCTAAAAAGGGAGAAACATTAGAATTATTCATGGAAATTTGCCAGGTTATGATGTCTATGGTGAAGTACAAATCAGAGGCTCTCCTTTAATTAGGAATCCTGGCTGAAACAAGCTACTAAGCCCACTCATGTTGGTTTCTACAAATTGAAGAAAGCTGAAGTTTTTTATAAAATCTAATTCTGTTCATAAAGCTGATTCTTAGATACGAACAATCCCAAACACCAAGGGGTTCTTGTCTGCTGAAATGTTGTAGTGTTCTAAATGGTCTTCTGGTGTAGCAATAATGAAACAGAACAAGAAAATCAGCTTAAGATGTCTAGTTTAATTCATGGGACATTTCTGAGCTCCCAATAAATGGTGGCTAAACAGGATAAAGAATGAAGAAAACAGGGCTGGGCATAGTGGTATATATCTGCAACCCCAGCACTCAAGAGGCAGAGGCACTTGTGAATTCAAGGCCAGCCTGGGCTACATAATGAGACCCTGTCTCAAAAAAAAAAAAAAAAAAAAAAAAAAGCTAGCTGTTGTTGCTTATATCTGTAATTTTAGCACTTGGGAGGCTGAGGCAGGATTGCCTAGCAAGCCTGGGCAGCACAGTGAGATCCTGTCTCAAATAATCAAAGGCAGATTAAGAACTTATATTGTTTTTTTGTTTGTTTTTTGTCTTTTTTGAGACAGGGTCTCACTTCAGCCCCAGCTGGCCTGGAACTCACTATGTAGACCAGGCTGGCCTTGAACTCACAGAGATCCACCCGCCTCTGCTTCCCAAGTGCTGGGACTAAAGGCATGCACCACCATGCCTGGCCTGAGAATTTATATTGTTTGACGAGAGAAAAAGACAGAGAAACAGTCAGAGACAGAGAGGGATGTAGAAACATCCAAAGGACTGTCCTCAGTAGTGAGGGCAAATACTAAATACTGTAATAGGCATTATCACCTCTAAAAAGATGTTTGTGACCCAATAAGCAACCCGTCTACACATTATGTGAATAATAGACTTCTGGGAACATCTGACTCAAGGATGAGGAGACTATACAATAAAACTGTTACTAAAACAGAAATGTTGCTAAAAAACTCCAAAGACACTTGGCCTTCCCTTACCATGCAGGTTACAGAGATATTCCCGCATTTTCATGACCATCTGGGACCTCAGCCGCAGGTTGTACTGCATTCGGAAACTACGCAAATCTAAGTACCGATACTGCAAACGAAGAGCCTCTGTTTTCTAAACAAATTGCAAGATTTTTATGTTTAAATATAACATTAAAAAGGAAGTTAGCTTTACATTTTAAAATTACATTTATTTATTTACTTATTTAATTAATTTATTTATTTATTGGAGTGTGGGTACCATAGCACATGTGGAAGTCAGGGACACCTTGCAGAAGTTGGTTCTCTCCTTCCACCATGTGGGTCCCAGGAATGGAATGCAGGATGTCAACCTTGGCAGAAAGCACCTTTACCAGCTGAGCCATCTCACTGGACTAGTAGTTATCTACCTGGAGTTTGAATTTTAAAAATCTTTAGCTCTGATTTTAGCTTCCATCATATCATGTTAGCTAGCCAGCATGCTACTACATGTTCCTGCTTAGGCATAAGTGCCTTATTCCTTTTCTTCTTCTTCTTTTTTTTTAGTGGTGCTAGAGATGAAACCCAGGGTCTTCTTTGCGCATGGTAGGCGTTTCCTGTCATTGCTATCATTGAGCTGTATGCCCAGCCCTTATAGCACATATTTTACTTATTATTCACTATTAACATCACCCTTTACTGAATAAAATATGCTTTACTTTATGAAACATTTATCTACTTATTTTGGCCCATAACTGACTCCTGAAAAAAAATGTAAAGATTTCAAAGACCATTAAGAAAAACATACCGAGGTAAGAAACAGCCTCACTGGGACACTCACTACAGTGTAAGGAATGCAAGGGGGTGGTAGATGGAATCTCTACCTAACAGAAATATGCTGAGGCTTGCTTGTTCTCAAGGCTTTAAATCCTGCATCCATTTTTTGTACTGAGAACCTAAAAAAGATCCTTTATCCTAGACTAGTGCTTTTCTTTCATACTTAAAACAGAAATAGTAAGAAACACCTGTAACTTCTTTTTCTGAACGTTTATCTTAAAAAAAAAAACATTTTCTTTTTCATAATAAGGCCAACTTTGTAATTACACTGTTTTTTGTTTGTTTTTTATATTTTCTTTTTTGCAACCAATAGGAACTTAAATATAAGAGTAAGTGGCCATATAATTAAACATCTCTTAATAGGGCTGGGAGGGGGAGACAACTTAGTTGGTATTCTAGTGTCACTTCTTGTTGCGGTGATAAAATACTCTGACAAGAACAGCTTAGGGGAGAAAGGGTCTATTTGGCTCACAAGCCTAGGTTATAGCCCAACACTGCAGGATAGCTAAGGTGGCAGGAACATGAAGCAGCTGGTCCCATCACATCCACAGTCAAGAGCAGAGAGTGATTAATTAGAGCATGCATGCTACTGCTCTGCTTACACTCTCCTTTTCATTGAGTCCAGGGTGCAGGCCATAAATGGTGCCACTGGCATTCAGGGTGGGTCTTCCTAAATCTGTTAACCCAATTAAGAAAATCCCTCACAGGCCAACCTGATCCCTCATACAGACTCCTGATTCTAGATTGTGTCTGGTGGACAATTAAAACTAACCATCTGTGAGACCCTGTCTCAAGCCCCTCAAAACAAACAAAAAAAACAAAACAGAGACAAACAAAAAGCTGGGGGTAGTGGTGTGCACCTTTAGTCCCAGCACTCAGGAGGCAGATGCAGACAGATCTCTATGAGATCAAGACCAGCCTGGTCTACACAGAAAGCTCTAGGCCAGCCTGGGCCTACAGGGAGACTCTGTCTCAAAAAACAAACAAACAAACAAACAAAAAAAGTAAATTAATTTTATAGAAGGTAAACTTTTTCTATATGAATCTGGTAACACCTTACTGGTCATGATGATTTTCCAGATAACTATTTTATTAATAAGAGGATGGCACCTTCACAAAGTCTTTAATTTCAAAGGGCAGCTTCTTGCAGGCATTCAGAAGCTCAGCTGTTTTAACTTTGATTTCAATTTCACCTGTTGGCATTTTCTTAAAAAAAGAGAAAAAGACCTATTTTAGAAAACATTCTTCATGACATGTATGCAATTCACTTTTATAAAATACACAAATTTATACACACATGTAAAATGTGTTGGTGCCACAGTATATACAGCATAAAACATAAACATCTACATAATTTTCACATTCCTATGTGTTATCTGTGGCTGACTGCCTCATAAACCAGCAAATATCACAATGCATTTGTCAATGTCAGCAAATGCTTTTGCATGTGCACTTACATAGGCATGTTTGACATCTGTGAGTTCATTTATAGAATTCATGAGCATTAGTGCTTAATGTATACACAGATATTACAAATGCATATAGGTAAAATTTACATAATTTCTAAACTACTAACTGGATTCTCTTGTCCTGGAGGTCGGGAAATAACTGTCCCAGATACCTTCACCACAGATTCCATAGGGGCTTCACATAAAATCTTCTTCACAGAGGCGGCCAACTGCAGAATAAGAGAGGGAAACAGTTCCAAGAAACTAATGAATTTATAGGAACCTTCTTTTAGTCTATGGTCTAGAGAAATGATATTCACAGCTTATTTGCTGTAATACTGAACTATCCTCAAAGTTATCACAAAATTTGGTAAATTCCATCCCCTATTTGACTGCATATAATATAGCAAGTAAGACTACCAAGAGTCCTCCCTCTCACCCTCTTTCTTTTTTGACAGGGCCTCACTATGTAGTACAGGTGGGCCTTGAACTCTCAACCTTCCTGCTTCCTGCACTAACATGCCTGCCAGCTACTTTTTGAGATAGAGTCTCTCCAAATTGCCCAGGCTTGTTTTAGTGTGTGTGTGTGTGTGTGTATGCCTGTGTGTGCCTGCATGCCCATAGCCCAAGTGCAGATAGAGAACATTGCAGGAGTCAGTTCTCTACTTCCACGAGGGTCGCGGGGATGGAATTCAGATTGTCAGCTTGGCAGCAAGTGTCTTTACCTGATGGGTCATCTCAACAGCCCTAAATCACATTTCCTTACCTTTGCATACTTTCATGTATATGGATATATAAACACATAAATATGTGTATATATACGTATAAATATAATTATTTTCTAGTAAGGCTCTCATTTAGTCCAGGCTTGTTTCAACTGGCTATGAAGCCAAAGATAGCCTTGAACTTCTGATCCTCTTGCCTCTGCTTCCCTACTGCTGATATTATAGATGCATGCTGCCGTGCTCAGCTTATGTTTTCTTTTCTAAAAATTATTTTTCTGTCATATTTCCTTTCTATAAACTTTATCTTCATACTCTGGGCTCTTTATTGATTTTTTATAGTTATTTAAATTTTACATTTACTTTGTGTATGCTTGTGCAAGCACACACATGTGCCATAGTACACATGTAGAGGTCAGAGGACAATTTGCAGGAGTCAGTTCTCTACTTCTACCATGTCGGTTCCAGGGATCAAACTCAGATTGTCAGGCTTAGTGGCAAATGCCTTTACCCTGAGCCATCTTGCTGCCACTACCCTTTTTTTGTAGTTATTTATTTATTTATTTATTTATTTATTTGCTCTTTTTGAGACAGGGTCTCTCTGTAGTCCCAGCTGGCCTGGAACTTACTATGTAGACCAGGCTGGCCTTGAACACACAGAGATCCATCTGCATCTGCCTCCTAAGTGCTGGAATTAAAGGCATATGCCACCACACCTGGCCTTTTTGTAGTATTTTAGATATTAGAGAAATTAGCCCCTTCCTATGATGCGAGTTGTACACATTTATTTTATAGTTTGTCATGTTTTAATGTTGCATATAGTAGTTTTCAGGTTAAAACTTTTTTAAAAAATTTATTTTCATTTTATGTGATTGAGTATTTTGCCTACATGGATCTAAGTACACCTGTGTTGTGCATTGCCTGTGGAGATCAGAAGAGGGCGTTGGATTCCTTGGAACTGGAGTTCTGGATGGTTGTTAGCCACCATGTAGGTGCTGGGAACCAAACCCAGGTCCTCTGCAAGAGAAGAGAATGCTCTTATAGGCTGAGCCATCTCTCTAGCACCTAGTTTTCAGTTTTTATTAATAATAAACTTCTGAACTTAAAACCTCAAACATACTGATCAAAATATTTAGCTTATTCCAGCCATCATATCAAAGCTTTAAAATAATGGTGGGAGCTGGATATGGTGGACCATGCCTTTAGTCCCAGCACTCGGGCAGGCGATCTCTGAGTTTGTGGTCAGCCTGGTTTACATAGTGAGTTCCAGGCCAGCTGGGATTACAGGGAAACCCTGTCTCAAAAAAGTCTGAAAAAAAAAAAAAAGATAATGGTAGGAAACCTTCTATTACCTCATCCTGGGGAATAACAACTTGAACAAGACCATGGCAATCTCTTAGAATTAGAAAGATGTTTTGCCTGAATAATGAAAAAAGAAAGAAGAATATTTCAGGATAAAATCTATCAACTCAAAATTTAAGCAGACAAAACAAGTAACAGAAACTCAATGCAATTCTCCTTTATTAAAATTAATTATTCTGTACTTCTGCTAGCTACATTCATACAATTGATAATCTTTTTTTTTTTTTTTTTTGAAATTTTTTTTTTTTAGCTTTGTTGCCCAGGCTGTCCTTGAACTTCCAGGCATGTACTACCATACTTGCCAAACTGCTTATTCAATTTCACTGTTTATTAGCTCTTTATATAGCTACTAATCTTTTAGACATGGCTTATTAATGAAAAAGCAAATTTGAAATTTTAAAATGTGGTTGCTATGACTATTTCCATGAAGCATCAGGGAGGCATGCAATCACTAATTTACAGAGAGCTTCCTCAAGGGAAAAACTCCCAGACCTGTGCACCAGCCTCTTAAAACATTATCAGTAATGTGTTGAGAAAGAAACAAATAATAAAGGACAAAAACATTTCTATTAAAATGGAGTTTGGGAGTCATGGCAAAGAAAAGCCTGAAAATTCTTCTTAAAGTTTCATTTTTATTTTAAATTATGTGTAGGTGTGTATCTGTGTGTGGGTTTGTGCACCTGAGTACAGATGCCTATGGAGGCCAGAGGCAACAGATCCCCCTGGAACTAAAGTTACAGCTGGTTGTGGGCCTGATGGGGATGCTGATGACAGAGCTCAGATCTTCTGCAAGCACAGTACACACTTTTAACAGTAGAGTCCTCTCTCTAGTGCCTAAAAACTCTTCTTGATCTTGCCTGTCACCTTAAAAATGGATTTCTCATAAGGAAATTGAAGATTCTGGATTTTGTCAACCAACGCTGTGAAGATAGTTATGAGATTTGACAAGTTTTGGAGAGCAGACTTTTATTTCTTCTTGATGCCTCCTTCCTCCTTGTAAAAGATGCTATCTTTTTCATTTGCTCTAGCATCTTACAGGAACTCAATGTGCTAAAATCAAATAATTCTTGGTATTATGGTTGTAATTCATGCTCTGGAATCAGGTTTAACTATACCTTTTATATAAATAACAATAAACGAGTTAAGATGATCAGGGCTGCCTGAGGTCTTAACTTTTGCTGCAAAGGACATCAGTTGCACCGTACTGGGTCACCACTCATGAAGGCAGTTGGCTAGGAAGTCTTTTCTCTCAGGGAGCTAACACTTTAAGAGGGATCTGGGCATAAGAGTTTCAGTCCCTGCTTTGGAGTGTGATTTTATTTCCATATATAACTAGCAGGTCAGATTGCTGTACCTGGGATAGTAAAGGGGAAGAAAGCTTTAAAGAGTTCCCTGCTTTAGTAAGAGGTGTTTGATTAAGATGTGAAAGTGTCAAGAACATCGAACACCATTCCAGAGTTCATGGTGTAGTTCAGGAATTACACTTGGGAGTACCTATGGAAGAAGAATCTAAACAACAAAGAATTTCTGTTGCTAGCTTTCAACTCCAATTAATATATTGAGTGGCCAATCATAAAAAAGGCAAAATACTGTGTCTGGTCAAATGGGAGTAGCATCTGCTTTATTTATGTTTGTCTACTCTTCCCTATGTCTGTAATCATGAAAACAATAAATTTTAGCAGTGAGTTTTTTTGTTTATTTGTTTTGTCTTTTTGAGACAGGGTCTCCCTGTAGCCCCAGCTGTCCTGGAACTCACTATGTAGACCAGGCTGGAACTCACTATGTAGACCAGGCTGGCCTTGAATTCACAAAGATCCCCATGCCCCTGCATCCCAAGTGCTGGGATCAAAGGTGTGGGCCACCATGCCCGGCACAGTGAGTGTTTTTTAAGAAAACAAAACTAGGGGCTGGAGAGATGGCTCCCCCATTAAGAATACTGGCTACTCTTGCAGAGGACCCAGGTTCGATTCCCAGCACCCACATGGAGACTAAAAACCATCTGTAACTCCAATTCCAGGGTATCTGACGCCCTCTTCTGACCTCTGAGGGCACTGCAAGACATGGGTGCACTTACACATACAGGCAATACACTCATCACATAAAATAAAAATAAATATTTTAAAAAAACTAAAAAAAGAAAACTAAACTAAAAATTTCATTGGTTTAAGTCCTCATAAGAAAATTTTTATTAACTTTAGAAACTTTTATACAGTAAAATCCAAAGATAACATTTTAGAGTCCTGGGAACACTTGATTGGCCTTTTTTTCCTCTGTAAAATAAAAGACACAATCAAAAATTTTCTTTTCTTTGTTTTCTTTCCTTAAAAAAAAAATAGAAAGTTTATTAAGAAAGGGAAAGTGCCAGGAATGATGGCACATGCCTTTAATTCCAGTACTTGGGAGACTGAGACAGGCGGATCTCTATGAGTTCAAGGCCATTCTGGTCTACATAGTGCGTTCCAGGCCAGCTGGGGCTACAGGGAGACCCTGTCTCAAAACAACTAAAACCAAAACCAAATGTCTGTAACTCTAATTCAAGAGGATTCAATGCCCTCTTCTGGTCTCTGTGGGCACCTGAACACACATAGTACACTTACATACATGCAGGCAAAACACTCATACATATAGAATAAAAATAAAGTATTAAAAATTAGTAACTCATACTTAGATCAGATAGAATACACTTTAGGCTAAAATCTGTTAAAAGACACAAAATGGTCACTATATAATGATAAAAGTATTTATTAACAATTGTAAATGTATCTACCCATCATTTGAGTACAGGTATTGCACAACATGGGTGCACTTACCTACATGCAGACAATACAAGAAAAAAAAAAAAAAAAAAAGAATAAATAAAATATTAAAAAAAAATTCATAGAAGTTAAAATTGCTTGGGAAAACAACCTCCATGCATTCCTAACTCCTCTGCTTCAATTTACCTTCGGTACTGAATCCATCCACAAAGGGTGACTTCCTGGCCTATGTGAGAAGTTCTCAATTCTCCACACGTGTTGGTCCGGGCAACAAAGCTGCTGAATTCTTTAAAAAAGAAAAGAGAAACAACTTGAAAGGCAAGATTAAAAATATATTATTTGCCGGGCGTGGTGGCGCACGCCTTTAATCCCAGCAGAGGCAGTCTTTGTGAGTTCGAGCCCAGTCTGGTCTACATAGTGAGTTCCAGGACAGCTGGGGCATACAGAGAGATGCTGTCTCAAGAAAACCAAACCAAAATAAAAAACAAAGTGGAAGGAGATTTGTAATTTATTTTAAAATATTCTTGAATCAAGACAGCGATTTCAGGTCAACGGATGATGCTTATATAAATTTTAAATTACAATTATTATTTATGTGTGTGTGTCCATGCATGCCTGAGGGCTGTGCACACCAGTGCCATGACACATGTGAGGTCAGAGGAAAACTTGAAGGAATCAGTTCTCTCCTTCCAGTGTGGGTTGCAGGGATCGAACTTAGGTTATCAGGATTGACAGCAAGTGTCTTTACTTGCCAAGCTGTCTTGCTGGTCCAACGAAGTTTATAAAATAAGCTAGAGCATGCAATTCAATTCCACTATCACATTTACCTGCAGATGTGTCACAGGAGAGGTAAATAACTGTTCGAATGTAAAATTCTGCCTTTCTGTTTGGAAATCTAAACATTTTGGATCATCTAGCACTTATATTGCCCTAAAATCCTAATTGCTCAATTTTAAACATTACACATTTCTTTGCCAAATGAAATATGATCTTGGGAATTATATAAGTGTAACACTGAGGTAACTAGGTTTAAAATGAATGTAGTTTACAATAATCACTTGAACGAAAGTATTAAAAGTGTAAAAAACACTTTAGTTTTCTATTAGTAGTATCAAGGAAACATTGACTAACCTGTCTATTGTGATTACCTTCTTATGGTCTTAAAAAAAAAATCAGGGGAGAAAACAACAACAACAACAATAAAACCCCACCCTGAATTATAAGGAACGAAGAGCGGGAATGATTTGCTATAAATTTAGTTAAGATGGGGGAAACCCAATGTGGAGGACAGGAGGAAGATCGCGGCTGTTTTCACCTGGAGTTCTCCTCTGTGAGCTCAGCACCAGACTTCTGGAGAGAGAACCCGAGATTGGCCTGGTGGTCCTTCGGATGGGCGGGTATAAACCCCTGTATAGCTGACGTAACCCAGAACCAAAGAACATGCTGGCGCCCGGGGCCCGCTCGAGGCAGTCCCCACTCCCACGCTGCCGGTGCTATGGTGGTCAAAACTCGGTTTCCAAAATACACGTGAACCGTTAAATTCTAGTTCCCACTCTGATCTAGTTAGACCCTCTCCACAGAACGTTCAAGTACAGGAATCCACAAGGCAGAAAAATCTGCAGTCTTCGGTGAGCGGTAAGACCTTTCCTCAGTGCATCAGTTCCTATGTCCATCTAAAAGGCTGCGACCCCAGAACGAACCAGAGGCCGGTCACCAGGCGCGCCTTCCTTTATTCCCACGTTTTCTCGAAGGTGACCTCGGGAAAAACCGCAGAATAAGGAGGAACAGTCTCACGTTTCAAACTTCCCAAACCTAGCGGTCCATCTTGGGTTTTCTGGAAGACGAAGACTTGCAAATCCAAACTACTCCTAGGTGGAACACAGATCACTTTCTGAAGCCAAAGTGCCGCTACCGCCCCTTCGCGACAAGATTACGGTAAAAGCATTGGGCCAATCAGAACGAGCGCGCCTCCGCCATGCTTACTGAGGGCGAAAATGTCAGAGAAAGCTTCGCGTCGGTTGTAAAAATCGAAGAGCTTCACCGCCCAATGGAGACGGTTGCGGGTACAGATTAAAGCCACCGGGCTTTGCCCTCAGTTAAGATGGCTATTTCAGTCGCTTCCTTGACTAGAAAGGGGCGAGGTACTGGAGAGGCTTCCAGCGTCCGGCCGCAGAGCAGGTCGGGAAATGATTTTAAACTGTGGCGGGCGCGGAGCTCCGAAGTTGGCAGCTTGGTGAATGCCAGTTGTCAGGCCTGCCTTTGACCCCAGAAGAGTTCTGGAGAGGGCATTTGGGGCGCCTTGGCGCTCGGTCTTTTCCCTCTCGGTGTGCATACGCCGACTCCACAGAAGTGAGGGTCGCAGAGCTAGGCCGCTGGGGATGCGGAAAGGCCCCTCCGCAGGTGAAGTCGCGGGCGTTGCCCTGGTCTCGAGTCTCCACGTAGTGTCGGAGCTGGCCTTGAAGAATGATTCGTGAATCCAGAATGGGTGACAGCGTCAGCTCGGCATACTATTGGTAAGATGCTTGGTCTGGCCCTGGACTCGTGTTGCCCTGTTGCGGCCACCATCTTTGCGATGCTGGTGTGTAGCTAGATGGGATGCACCCTGGGCTTAGCAAGTTCAATTTGATTATTACGGGCAGTAGTGCAGTGATTGGGTCAGGGTCCCTCGCTTACGGACTAAACACAAGAGAAAGTTTAGCTGCGTGTTAGGAACTGTAAATGCAAAAGTTGGCGAGAAAGGGAGTTGTGCGGACACTAGAAAGCTGCTGAGGAATTGAAACTTGAAAAGGAATTCTCTGCTTCTGTCAACTGACAGCTGATATTAGCTTTTGTAATGGGGTTAAGAATCAAAGCAGACAGTGATAGTACTAGGAGAGTCCCAGCCCTGGGGAGGCTGAGGCAGGAGGATGGCTGTGAGTTCTAGGCCAGCCAGGGCTGCACGGAGAGACCTTGTTCCGCACCTCCCTTCCCACAAACAAACAAACAAACAAACACACGGACAGTATTTGTTAAGGGCTCACCAGAGTGCCTGGAACATGGTGAATGCTTAGTAATTATTGTCTCAAATTTCGTACATGAAAGAAAAATTCTGAGTGAACAGAACTGCTAAAGACTCCTGTTTAAAAAGGTGATTTAAAAGTATTTAGAGCTGGAATGCTTTAGAGCAGCTGTTATCTAAATTGTGTAGTAAATCAATGGCTAAGGAGTGACAGCAGGAGGATGGTGCTCTTTGGTATAAATTTCAGTTACAGATTTTTAAAAAAAATCAATATTCTTCTGCCTTTCCATGTACTCATGCAAACTCCCACCTCACGTCTCCCTCACTTTCTACAAATGGTGAGTAGGTGGGAGCCAGCTCTTTTTTGTGAAGCCCTTGTGCCTGCTATTCCTAGTGCTCTTGCAGGTCTCCTTGGCAACATACATATTGCATCATTTGACTTATTATTATTGTAGAGCTCATACTGTAAAGTGCCTGTTTTGTTTGTTTTTATTTTATTTTATTTTATTTATTTATTTATTTATTTATTGGAACGTAAGCTGGCCTTGAATTTGGATCCTCCTGCCTCAGCCTTCTGTGCCACCATACCCTACTTTAAAGTTTCTACTTTGAGTTTTGTAATTTTGGTACATTTTAGATAATGTGTTTCTACTTTAGTTTGTAGAGTTAAAGAATTGTTTTGACTAAACCTAGGATGAGAACGCAAAATAAAACATAGTATGGCATATGATCGATCTTGTTTGAAATATTCTATTTTTATTTTATGTGTATGAGTGTATTGCCTGCATGCATGTAAGTGCACCTGTGTTGTGCAATGCCCACGGAGGTCAGAAGAGGACATTGGATTCCCCTGGAACTGGAGTTACAGATGGTTGTTGGCTGCCATGTGGTTACTGGGAATTGAATCTGGGTCCTCTGCAAAAGCAGCCAATGCTCTTAACCGCTGAGCCATCTCTCCAGCCCTGTGGGAAAGGTTTTTAAAAAGCTAAGTGTGGGGGCTGGAGAGATGGCTCAGCTATTAAGAACACTGACTGCTCTTGCAGAGGACCCGGGTTCAGTTCCCAGCACCCACAAGGCGGCTATGAACCGCCCTTAACTCCAATTCCAGGGGAATCTGAAGCCCTCTTCTGACCTCGGTGACATTGCACGACATGGGTGCATTCACGTACATGCAGGCAATACACTCATACACATAAAATAAAAATAATAAATAAAATATTTTTAAAAGCTAAGTGTGGGGATAGAGAGCTGGCTCAGCAGTTTAGTGCTTGTTGTTCTTGCAGAGGACCTGAGTTTGGTTCTCAGCACCCATGCCAGGTGACACACCTGCCTGTAACTCTAGCTCCAGGAAATCTAACACTTTTGGCCTCTACAGGCACCTGCATTCACGTGCTCATACCTATGCACATACACATAGACACACACATACACACTAATTAAAAATAAAACAGTAAATCTTTTTTTTCTTTTTTCCATTATTTATGTTTTTATTTTATGTTATGAGTGTATTGCCTGCATGTATGTGAGTGCACCTGTGTCGTGCAATGCCACGGAGGTCAGAAGAGGGCTTCGGATTCCCCTGGAACTGGCTGGAATTAGGGATGGTTAGTAGCTGCTGTGTGGGTGCTGGGACCCGAACCGGGTCTTCTGCAAGAGCAGTCAGTGCTCTTAACCGCTGAGCCATCTCTCCAGCCCTAAATCTTTTTTTTAAAGGCTAAGTGCCAGGTGTTGGTGTGTACTCCTTTAATGCCAGCACTCTGGAGGCAGCTGGCAGGAAGATCAGAAATTCAAAGCCAGACTCTGCTGTATAGTATGAGGCTAGCCTCGGCTATGGTGGGGTTGTCACAACACAAGTTGGGAATAATTTATTTTGGAATTTTTTGAAAGTTGAACCACCTGTGATTAAAGTGCCCTCAGCATTAGGATTAGGGTAATTATAAAGAAAAATATAAAACATAGTTTCAATCAAAGTAGCGTAACCTTGCTGGAGAGACAAGAAATACACACTGGGGGATAAAGTTCAAGGAAATACATGAATACAGCCAAAATGACTGGTACACATTGAGTGACCAAGGAGGGCTATGTGCATGTGGAGCTACTGGTGTAGCTCCAGAGGTTTTCTAGGTTTTTTTGTTTGTTTTTTAGAGACAGGATCTCCCTGTAGCCCAGCTGTCCCGGAATTCACTATGGAGACCAGGCTAGCCTTGATCTCAAAGAGATCCTCTTGTTTCTGCCTCCTGAGTGCTAGGGCTAAAGGCATGTGCCCCCATACTCAGCTCTTTAATAGGGTATTCTTGAGGAATTTTATTGGATTCATTGTACACACACACACACACACACACACCCTTCTAGAAATGAGCCTCTGATACAGTTAGTGTATATAACATAGGTCTTTCAGGGGTAAAAGATTTTTTTTTCTTTTTCTTTTTTAAACTATTGTTTTAAAGGAGGTAGTATTAAGTTTGTCACAAAACCAATTATTTAATTGAAGCTACAGAAAAAAGGTGGTATAATTGATAATTAGGAAGAATATTCAGAGTATTTCAAAAGATTTAAAATAGGACACTTTATAAAAAGCTGTGTGGGAAATAAAATTCCTAAGCAATAGTAGAAATGTAACATTATCTTATAAAATACAGACAGAAATATAAAAAGACTGTGTATTCTAAATCTGAAATAATAACAAAATATTTAGGTTTAAAATTTACAGTTTAAAGGAGGTAGTATTTAATCATGGTCTTAAAGGAGAACGAATGGGAGGAGGTGACATCAGATAGACAGTTGATAGGCAGAGCATGAAGACTTGAATATATTTATGTCCTAGACTGGAGCTGAGAATTAGTAGATAAGGAGAAGTTGGATTATGAAAGACCTAAACAAGCAGTTTAAGATTCATCTTATTACTGTAAGGTTTTGCATCAGAAACTAGCAATATAGTGCCAGTTTTGGAAGTATAATTGTCTCGGATATGGAGAATTAAAAAAAAAATTTTGATATGGAGAATTTTTTTAAAAGATTTTATTTTTATTTGTATGTACATGTGTGAGTATGTACACCTGTTAAGGTCAGAAGGAGGCGTCAGATCCCTTGGAGCTGGAGTTGCAGGCAGTTGTGAGCTGCCCGATGAGGGTGCTAGATGCTGGGATCTGAACTCAGGTCCTTTGGAAGTGCAGCAAGCACTCTTAACTCCTGAGCCATCTCTGGATATGGAGAATTCTTACTGGTGGTACTAAAAACATAGCTAAGGAAGTAACTTAGGGAGGGGATGATAAAGGCTGAAGGAAGAACTCAAATAAAACATGCCTAATAACTGTATGTAAATTAATGAAGATGGGAGATTACATAAATGTACCTAATTTAGGAAATTGGTAGGAATTTAAATTGAACCAATTATCTTAAAAGGAGTTGTATTTGAGCTACTTGTATTTGTAAAACTGGGCTGTGGCCAATAAGAAATAAAGGATTTTGTGGAAAAGGTGAGGAGGGGAAGGAAAGACAAAGAATGTCTCTGCGGGAACTGTGAGCATGAGTTAGCTCTCTAGTGCTTAGAATTCTCATTTTATTATTATTTTAATACAGAGTATGGATACTTATGATTCAGCAGGATTGACTCCTAGACAAAGGGCCTCCTCAGGTCTTAAAGATTACTTTGTAGGCGTCACCCCTCTGCAGAAACGACTGGAGTCCGTCAGGAGGCAGAACTCATTTTTCCCCACTCCATCTCGAAGAAAAATTCTCCAGTGTTCACAGTTGCAGGTACGCTTTGTGTCCCTTTGTGTTAGTCAGTAATGGAGAATATAGGAACAAAATACATCAGCTTTTATGACTCTTGACAGAATATCTTCCTAACTCCTCAGCTAATCAATAAATGAGGAATAAACAATTTCACACTTTAAGTATTGTATCTTTTACACTTTATAATCTCCTTTAATCAGTATAATTTCTTAAGTATTTTATGACATTGACATTTTTGAGCAATATAGACTCTTTCCCTTGTCTAAATGTAATCTTCTTCATTTTTGTATTTGTCTGATGTTTTCCAATGATTAAAATTTTGTATTCTTGAACCTTCAGTGTAACTTCTTTCTCTTGTCAGTGTTATGTGTCTCTGGCCTCTTGGGATAGGAGACAAGTTTTGCTACTCTGATAACTATTTTTTTTTTTTTTTAACTTTAATGTGTCTGTGTGTCTGCACCTGTGGGTGCAGGTGCTCCTAGAGGCCAGAAGAGGGCACTGGATTCCATGCAACTAGAGTTACAGGCAGTTGTGAGCAGCCACACATGGTTGTTGGGAACTGGGCTCAGATTCTTTGCAAAACCAGCAAGTGCTCTTAGACGTCAAACCATCTCTCCAGCCACCTGTAACAACTTTCTTAAAGAAGACTTACCAGTGCCTGTAATCAAATGATAGTTCTTAGCTAGAAAACAGTTTTTTTTTGCAGGGGAGGCAAGATGCTGGAGATTTAACACAGAGCCTTGCACATGCTAATCTAGTTAGGCTATATCTCCCGCCTGAAAGATTTTATTATTTATCTATTTTCTTTCCTGAGGGCTGGAATTCAACATGTGTACCCTTTGTGCCTGGCTTCCCAGAGATTTTATATTAAGATGAAAGTGTCCAAATTAGTGCTCCTTGTATTTATAAATAATTTTGTCATAAATATAGTTAATGGGGGCTGGAGAGATGGCTCAGTGGTTAAGAACACTGGTTGTTCTTGCAGAAGACCCGGGTTCGAATCCCAGCACCTACATGGCAGTTAACTGTCGGTAACTCCAGTTCCAGGGGATCCGACAGCCTCTTCTCACCTCCATGGGCATTGTATGACACAGGTGCACTTACCTACATGCAGGCAGGATACACATACACATAAAAATAATAAATAAAATATTAAAAAATATATATATATAGTTAATAAGATAAAGTGCGTAACTGTTAATGCTGTAGCTAGAACAAACATCTTTCTCAAATATATTGAAAATTTCAAAGGATAGTTGGATAGTCTGTGAGGCTATATCAGAAAATGCAGGTATCAGAAGACTTTTCAGAAGGAAACTAGGAGCCTCTTTGGGAGCAGCTAATAAATAGTTCAACTCATTTTAATTCTGTTATGGAGCCAATACAAATAAAGTGGCTTTTGTTTGTTTTTCATTTTTGTTTTTGTTTGTTATTTTGAGACAGGGTCTCACTATGTAGACCAGGCTATCCTGAAACTCACAAAAATCACCTTTCTCTGCCTTCCAAGTGCGGGGGTTAAAGGTGTGTGCCTCCACTACTGGCCCAATGAAGTTCTTCCTTTTGATGCTTTATTTTTATTTTGTTTCTTTGAGACAGGATATTGCTTTGTAGTCCTGACTAGCCTGGAACTTAATATGTATAGGCCAGACCAGCCCCGCTTTCAATTTGTGGGCAGTCTTCCCAGCTTTGCCTCTTAAGAGCTGGGATTACAGGCATACCCCATTATGACTGGCTCATTTTTAAAATCAGGTGTGTGTGTGTGTGTGTGTGTGTGTATGTGTGTGTGTGTGTGTGTGTTTCGAGACAGGGTCCTCAGTAGCCGCAGCCAGCCTGGAACTCACTATGTAGACCAGGCCGGCTTCTCACTCACAGAGATCCGCCTAACTCTGCCTCCCAAGTGCTAGGATTAAAGGCATGTGCCGCCACACCAGGCTTTTAATCATTTTTTAAAGTCATCATACAAAATGATGGTTTTCATTATGGAATGTATATGTCTATGTATGTATATGTCTGTACTTTGTTGTTGTTCACCCCCTTCCTCCTCTTACTGATCCTCTTTTTCCCAGAATGTCTTCCTTTCTGCTTTCATGGCATTACTCTACCCGTAAGAGCTCTTCCTTTCCTCTCATGGTCTCTGTTCTACTTTCATGTCCTACACACACACACACACACACACACACACACACACAATTACTTAAATCTAGTTACTATATATGGGAGAAAACACAAGATATTTGTATTTCTGTGTTTGGCTTATTTTCCCTAACATAATGATCTCTAGTTCCACCCATTTTCCTGTAAATATTATGATTTCATTTTTCTTTACAGCTTAAATTTTCATTGTCTGTATGTACATTTTCTTTATTCACCTGTTGATGGACATATAGGATGGTTCTATTTCTCAGCAATTATGAATAGTTCAGTAATAAACTATTGAACATGTTTCTATATGGTATATTGAGAGTCCTGTGGTTGTATACCCAAGAGTACTCTAGCTGGGTCATATTTTTAGTTTGAGGAACCTCACACTGACTTCCGTAATGTGTGCCAATTTACATTTCTACCAAGGTGGGTTTTTAAAAAATTTTATTTATTATTTTTATTTTATGTGTGTGAGTGTATTGCCTGCATGTATGTGACTACACCCATGTCGTGCAATGCCGCGGAGGTCAGAAGAGGGCTTCAGATTCCCCTGGAACTGGAGTTAAGGATGGTTCGTAGCCGCCATGTGGGTGCTGGGAATCGAACCCAGGTCCTCTGCAAGAGCAGTCAGTGCTCTTAACCGCTGAGCCATCTCTCCAGCCCCTCCAAGGTGGGTGTTTTGTTTGCTTCTTTGTTTTTATAGGGCCTTACTGTGTAACCCTGACTGGCTTGGAACTTGCTATGTAGACTAGGCTGACTTTAAAGTCACAGAGATTCACCTGCCTCTGCCTCCTAGAATGTGACACTATGCCCAGCAAGGTGTTTTTGTTTTTGGTGCCTCTGTGGATCTAATAGAGCATAGCCAAAAATATTTCCAAGTATCTTTTTCTTTAATATGTTGAATTAGCCTTTGTTGGATAAAGTATATTTGATGCTAAAGAATGGAGTGATAGTGGCCTCTTAATGACATGTGGGCAGAGAACTGAATAAAATGAAGGAATATGTCATAGGAAAACCCTGGGGAAGAGCTTTCCACACAGAAAGCACTGTTCAAGGACCTACAAGGAGTCGTAAGAACTCCATTTGAGATTAATCTTTGGAAGGCAAGATCATATACCATGTAGTAGATACCTATTAAATACTTAAATAATTATGGTTAAATTCTTACCCACGTTTTTACTTTTTGTTTTAGGAAGATGTTGATCCTCATAAGGTTGCATTTCTCCTCCACAAACAGTGGACTATATATAGTTTAACTCCCCTCTATAAATTTTCCTACACCAATCTCAAAGAGTATTCTAGACTTCTAAGTGCGTTCATTGCCGCTGAAAAGCAGAAAGGACTTGCTGTGGAAGTGGGAGAAGACTTCAACATCAAAGTGATTTTCTCCACTCTACTTGGAGTGAAAGGAACACAAAGGGACCCTGAAGCATTTCTTATCCAGGTATAGTACATAAGCAGTATTTGTTTCCTAGAAGAAAGGAGTCTGTATTTTGAGTTTCAGAATGGAAATTGTAGTATTTTCTTACTGTTTTTTCTTAAACTCCTAAACTTGTGATTTAAAAAAAAAAATTACATTTATTTTTTTGTGTGTGTGTGTGTGTGTGTGTGTGTGTGTGTGTGTGTGTGAATATACATACCATTGTGCACTGTGGTGTTCAAAGGTCAGCTTGCTGGAGTTGGTTCTCTCCTTTCATCATATGGGCCCTCAGGATTGAACTCAATTTGTCAGGTTTACAACAAGTACCTTAAAATGCTGAGCCATCTTGATGGATCCTTCTGCTGCCTCCTTTCAGGTGCTAGGATTAGAGGTGTGTACTACCAAACCCTTTAAGAAAAGTGTGCTTCCTGTATGCTAAGGTTCGAGAGGCATGCCTCATTTGGTGGGCATGGCTGTTTCCCATTCATGTCTAGCAACATTAATGCTATAGCAGAAGGATGTTTTGAGCATTTAGGCAAGTTGCAACAGATCCTGACCTTAGATACCTAAGGAATTGGGCAAAAAAAATGTGATAAATGTAGTATATTTAGTCTTGAAGATAGTTAAGTTCTTCATAATCTCTTGAATTATAAAATATGATAAAAGAAACTTTTTTTTTTTTTTTTTGGTCTTTTTGAGACAGGGTCTCCTTGTATCCCCAGCTGTCTCAGAACTCACTATGTAGACCAGGCTGGCCTTGAACTCACAGAGATCTGCCTGCCTCTGCCTCCCGAGTGCTGGAAAAAAGAAACTCTTTAAATGATCCTTTCTTAAGAGATATGATGGGTGGTGATCTAAACATTGGCCTGGTTAGTACTTTTATGAATATCTTGAAGGTGTGTTTGCCATATAATTTAAAAATGGGAAATTTGAGTGCTTAGTCATTCAGATAGAAATATAATCAAAGTCCTAAACAATCTGAACAGATTGGCACAATGGAACAAATTGAAAGAGCTTTAAATTTCCATGCAAGTAAGTTTACTGCTTCAATTTAGGTTGAGGAAGATTTGCATATAATAGCAAAGATGAATGTGTTTTGGCTATTCTACATAAAGCTGTCAACTAAAAACCAGAAGACTATAATCTAAGATTATATTAATAGAAATACAATCTAGGTCAAAGATGATGATAATCTTCTAATCAGACTTTGTTTTTTTCAGTGCTAGGGCCTAATGTAGAGTCTTGTGCACACTAGGCAGCTACTCTACCACTGAGCTAGATTCTGAGGCCCTTGAAATCAGACTTTTTTTCCCTTAACACTTTTTTTTTTTTAATTTGATTTGATTTTCTCAAGAATTTCACATCTGAGAACCATTATACACAACATTTCCACTCCTTCTCAAATTCTTGACCAAGTATTTAGAATAGTTATAGATTATACTGGCTTAGGAAAAAGGTAGGTTCTCCTCTAAGGTCTACAGCCTCACCAACCACAGGTAGATGGCTAGGTTTACAGTACCAGGCAAGAAATTCCTCCTACTGAGGAGGCCTTAAGTCCCATAAGACAGCTGTTGGTTATTCACAATATACAGTGTCACTATTTCACCTCTGGGCCTATCTTGCCTGGCTATTTGTTGTGTTCCTATCCAGCTGCAAAACCTATAAAACACATTTCCACAGCAGCAGCAAGCTGCTTTCCCAAGATACCCATAGGGTTTTGTGAAATCAGGCTTTTTTGAAATAGTTCACTTAGGAAGTATGTTCACTTGTGGATGACTCCTGTGTATAAGAACTTCAGAGAAGAATGACCAGGATAGTGACTGTCTGTGAGAATATGTCAAGAAGAATGGTTTGAAGACACTGGAGATATTGAGCCTGATAGTATATGTGTTATGAGCCAGCAAGTGTCTGAGGGGCTTTTACAATAGAAGAGACTAGATTTGTTTTATAAGTCGGTAATGGAGGAGAGCCAGTGGCTAGAAACTGTCAGGCTTACATATGGAAGGACATTTTAAGTTGATGGAAGGGGTTGCTTTAGGAAATGTTCTTCCTCAATGGAATTTAGAGAGCTTTAATAGTCCTTTCTAAGATTGATTTTTCCCCCCCTTCCTCAAGATACTATACCTGATAATGCTATATAGGCATCTCCTAATTTGGGTTTTAGTTACACCAAGATCTTGCCATATACCCTATCTCTAATATAGAGGAATATTGGGCTGAAAGTCAATAAGCTCTAATGGTGATTAGGAAAGCTTCTCTTGTGGGTTTTACATCAGATATTATGATTTTAATTTTTTTAATGAAGTTGAAATTTGTTAAGAATCCATTTTAATACAAATTTAAGCACAGGTATTAGGGAAGGGAGGCTTAAGAAAAAGGTAGTATTTTTTTTAATACTTGCATTGAAATTTTGAGAATTTCATACACTGTATTTTGATCATATTCAGATCCCCTCCCCTATCTGCACCCCCCCTTCTACCTCTCTCACACCTACCCCTACCTGATTTCATGCCCTCTTTTTTTGTTGTTGTTTTTTGCTGTAGCCGCAGCTGACCTGGAACTTGCTATGACCATACTGACCTTGAACTCACAGAGATCTGCCTGCCTCTGCCTCCTGAGTGCTGGGGTTAAATGTGTGTGCCACCACACCCAGCTCATATCTTCTTTTAAAGGGTTTTTGAGTCTAATTTGTGTCCCCACATGCCCTTTGGTGTGGGTTCATCCCCTGGAGCCTAGTCAACCTACCAAGCATCACATCCTTTAAAAAAAAAAAGATGATGGCTTACACCTGTAGTCCAGCACATGGTTTGAGTTTTGTTTTCCATTTTTTAGAAATTTTTTATTAGCATATATTAATTGTACATAATAATGGGTTTCATACATAATATGTATGTTGATCATTACCTTCTTATGCACCTCTCATTCCTGCTGATCCTCTTCTTCCCAACTAGTCTTGCTACTGCTACTTCTCTGTTTTGTGTGTGTGTGTGTGTGAGAGACAGAGACAGAGACAGAGACAGAGAGAGAGAGAGAGAGAGAGAGAGAGAGAGAGAGAGAGAGAGAGGAAGGAGACCCAGTGAGTTTAATTAGGGCTGTTTACAGGAGCATGGCCTGGCTGGGGTTATTTACAGGAGTATAAGCAACTTACCAGTGGCTCTACCACTAAGGAAAATGTCTTCTGCCCCCAGAAACCATTAACTGCCTGTATATCCTCAGGGAGAGGTGGGGCTTTGTGAGACCCTTTTCCCTTTCATGTCAGAATGTTGATGAGCTCAGTCTTGTACAGATGATTACAGGTGCTAAGAATTCAATAGTGCAATGATCTTGCCATGCAAGAAGACGGCCTTCCACAGCAGTCCTCCCCTTCCTGTTACATTCTTTCCATTTGCCTTTCCATAATGTTACTAAGCCTTAGAGGGAGTGATATAAAGTCATTTATGACTGTGTATTTAACAGTCACTTATTTTCAGCACTTTTACTAGTTATGATCCTTTTTAGTAACTGCTGCCCACTTCAAAAAGAAACATCTCTGACCCAAGCTGACAGTAGTACTCATCTATGGACATAAACAAAGCTTTAGAGGGTGATTTGATAGGTACATTGTGTCCATTTAGCAAAAAACAGCAGTGGCTTGCCCACTAGAATCTATGTTCTTCACAGGTTTGCAGTACCAGACATGAATTCCTTCCTGAGGAGAGGCCTCAAATCTAATCAGAAAGTGGTTGCTTACCCTCACAATAGTTATGTCACTATTGCATCATTAATTTTGGTTTTTTGAAGCAGTCTCTCATAGTCCAGGCTAGCCTCAAACTTGCTGTGAATCTAAGGTTGGCCTTGAACTTCTTATTCTGCTTTAGCCAGGGATTTATAACGTGTCACTATCTTTTCCTTTTTCCCCCCATACTCATTAATTTTGAGACTATATAATTTAGTAGTACATGGCCTTTTGAATTTAATGAACTTGTTTTACTCTCCTTTGTAGATTCTCTCAAAATCTCAGTCATCACATGAGCACAGAGAAGATAAAGTGTTATGGACTGGTTGGTTCTGCTGTGTATCTGGAGATAGTCTTCTGGAGACTGTTTCAGAAGACTTCACCTGTCTACCCTTATTCCTTGCAAATGGAGCAGAGTCTAATACAGCTTTAATTGGAACATGGTTTCAGAAAACCTTTGACTGTTACTTCAGTCCTTTAGCAATCAGTGCTTTTAATCTTTCCTGGATGGCTGCTATGTGGACTGCATGCAAAATGGATGGCTACCTGGCTACTACTGAATTTTTTTGGTCTGTACCCTGCAGCCCTCAAAGTTTGGATATTTCTTATGCAATACATCCAGAGGATGCAAAAGCTTTATGGGACAGTGTTCACAAAACACCTGGGGAGGTTACCCAGGAGGAAGTTGACTTATTTATGGACTGCCTTTGTTCACATTTTCATAGACATTTCAAAATTCACTTATCAGCCACAAGATTGGTTCGTGTTTCAACATCTGTTGCTTCTGCACATACTGATGGAAAAATAAAGGTTAGTTTGAACAAATTCATTAAAATTTTCCTTGTCAGGTTTTCCAAATAATTGGTAATTATATTTTTCACACAGAGAAACATGCTGGAATGTACATGAATTCAGAACAGTAGACTTTGTTTCATACTTTATAAATGAGCCACCAGTGTTTCTAGCCATATAAATCCAGCTTTATAGTGGAAGGAAGTGCATTACAGATTAGAATAATATGAAGCATCTTCTAGCAACTGAAACTTTTGAAACTGTCAAAGTTTGAAATTATTATGAAAGTAACAATTTTATGTGAGATATAAAATTATACATAGTAGCCGGGCGTGGTGGCACACGCCTTTAATCCCAGCACTTGGGAGGCAGAGGCAGGGGGATCTTCTACCTAGTGAGTCCCAGGACAGCTGGGGCTACAGGGAGACCCTGTCTCAAAAAGACAAAAAAAAAAAAATTATAGGTAGTAACACAGAATAAGATTGTCTTTGTAGTCTAGGTGTTTCTAACCCCAATTAGGAAGGAAATCATGGAGACATGGAATGTTCTGTAAAGAAACAAATAGCTTCTAAAATGTATTGAAACACACATCTCTATATAAATCCAATGAATATTTCCCAGTATTTTGTCATTGTTAGGACTTTTTTTTCTTCCTACTTTTTATTTTTAATTTTTGGTTTTTTTTGAGACAGGGTCTCCCTGTAGCCCTAGTTGGTGGGAACTTGCTATGTAGACCAGGATGGCCTTGATCTCACAGAGTTCTCTCTGCCTCTGCCTCCGAGTGCCTTCTTCCTACTTTTTGACATTTTAGTTGTTAGCCTTAGCCTTTAACGGCTGCACCATCTCTCCAGCCCTTCTTTCTACTTTTTATTTTATTTATTTATTAATTATTTAGTCTTTTTGAGACAGGGTCTCCCTGTAGCCCCAGCTGGCCTGGAACTCACTTTGTAGACCAGGGTGGTCTTGAACTCATAGAGGTCCACCTGCTCTGCTTCCCGAGTGCTGGGACTACAGGTGTGTACCACCATGCCCGGCTTTCTTTCTACTTTTTAAAATTGATGTATGTTTGTGGTTTTGTGTGTATGGTGCTGGGAATTCAACACAGTACCTTATACATGCTAGGCAAGTGCTCTACCAGTTAGTTACACCCTCTCTGTCCCATTTGTTCATATTTATGGGGCACAATATGATACAATGTATAATGGATGAATTACAGTAATTTGCATTCCATTTCTTTATTCCATTTCTTTATCTCTCTTTTGTATTGGAATCTTCAAATTCTCTTAGTTATTTTGAAATATATAATAAATTGTTGTAGACCATAGCCACCTGACTGCTATAAAACATTAGAATTTGGGGCTGGAAAGATGGCTCAGCAGTTAAAAACACTGGTTGTTCTTGCAGAAGACCCGGGTTCAAATCCCAGCACCCACATGGCAGCTAACAACTGTCCGTAACTCCAGTCCCAGGGGATCTGACAGCCTCTTCTGACCTCTGCGGGCATTGCATGACATGGGTGCACTTACCTATATGCAGGCAATACACGCATATACATAAAATTAAAAAAATAAAATTTTTAAAAAATTAGAATTCTCTTATTTGACTGCATTATAGCACTTATTATGTAACTCCTCTGTCTATCTCTATTTTCTTCTATGAGGGTCTTTTTTCTTTTTTTCACTCTCTTTTTCCCCCCAGGTAGCCGTCTCATGTAGCTCAGGCTGTCCTCAACTCTCCAAGTGCTGGGATAGTGTGCATCATCACACCTAAAGGGATCAGTGTTTTTAGCTTTCACAGATGAGTGAGAGCATGCAGTATGTCTTTCTGTACCTAGCAGATATTAATTCTGACTTTGACCTTTAGGACAACACTGTAGTTAGGTGGGGTTTCTTTTTTTTTTTTTTTTTTTCGGTCTTTTTGAGACAGGGTCTCCCTGTAGCCCCTGCTGGCCTAGAACCCTAGAACTTACTATATAGACCAGGCTGGCCTTGAACTCACAGAGATCCACCTGCCTGCCTCTGCCTCCTGAGCACTGGGATTAAAGGCGTGCGCCACCATGCCCGGCTTAGTTAGGTGTTTTTAATCCACATTTTATTTTAAAACAAGAAATTGAGGCCAAAATAAGTTTAAGTGACACATTCAAGGTAGCTTAATAAGAAAAGGACTCTGGACTAGTGAGGTGGCTCAGTGTACTTGCTGCCAAAGCCTGACAACCTGACTTTCATTCCAGGATCCCATATGGTAGAAGGAGAGAACCAACTCCTGCAAGTTGTCCTCTGACCTTCACATACTTGTTTTGGGGTACACACCTACACGTGCATTCAGACACAAGCTAAATTAGTTTTAAAAAAAAAGAAAGAAGGGGGCTGGAGAGATGGCTCAGTGGCTAAGAACACTGTTCTTGCAGAAGACCCGGGTTCGAATCCCAGCACCCACATGGTGGCTAACAACTGTCCATAAGTGCACTTACCTACATGCAAGCAATACATGCATACACATAAAATAAAAATAATAAATAAAATATTAAAAAAAAAGGAATCAAGATTTGAACTTTTGGTTCCAAGAGTGCTATATAACTCATACTTTCAAACTGGAGCTCACAATGAAGTAATAGGCTGATAGGAAATAAACACTAAAAAGCACTAAAAAAAACAGAAAAAAAGGGTTGAACATAGTGGGTACATGTGTCTAGTCCTAGCATTTGGGAGGTAGAGGCAGGAGCATCAGGAGTTTAAGGCTACATTGTGAGTTCAGAGCCAGCATTGTTCACATGAAACCCTGTCTCAAAACAAACAAACAAAACACCAAAACACAACCAAACGAGGGGCTGGAGAGAGAGCTCAGAGGTTAAGAGCATATACTGCTTTTGCAGAGGACTGGAGTTCTGTTCCTGGAGTTCTGTTCCTAGCATTCATATCAGGCAGCTCACAACTACTTGTTACTCGAGCTCTAGGAGATCCAACACCCTCTTCTGGCTCTGGGTACTGCATTCATGTGCAGAAACTCATACTCAGATACACATATACACATAATTAAAAAAATTTAAGTTGGGGTGGTGGCGCATGCCTTTAATTGCAGCACTCGGGAGGCAGAGGCAGGTGGATCTCTGTGAGTTCAAGGCCAGCCTGGTCTACATAGTGAGTACCAGGCCAGCTGGGGCTACAGGGAGACCCTGCCCCCCCTCGCAAAAAAAGAGAAAAAAATGTAGAAAAACACTAAAATGACAAGCAAATATAAAGGTCCCAGCATGGTGCATGCCAGTAATCTCATCAGTTGAGAGGTGATGGCACAAGGATGAATGGGTCAAGGTCGTCCTCACCTACATAAGGATTTTGAGGTCTACCTATGCTACATGAGACCCTGTCACACACAAAAAAGGAAATATAAAACAGTGTATTACATGTGGTAAACTTAATGAACTAAATACGGAAATTAGACCAGTGTAACACTGATTATTCATACGATTCTACAACTGGATTTGGTGGCTCATACCTGTAATCTTACCTTTTCAGAGCCAGAGGCAGGAGGATTGCCTCAAGTGCAAGGCCAATCTGGACTACAGAAGGAGACCCTGTCTCAAAAAAAAAAAAAAAAAAAAACAATACCCCCCCCAAATAACAGCCAAAAACTCAAATATCAAATTGATTTATTATCATAATACTATCCTAATTTTAAAATTCTCTTTTCTTTTACAGATTCTGTGTCATAAATATCTTGTTGGCGTGTTGGCATATTTGACAGAACTGGCAATTTTTCAAATTGAGTGAGGCCTTGTATGGACTATAAATTATGGACTCTGTGCCCTTTTGATTATTTCTGACCACCCAATAGTACAGTGGGAGAAGTATGACCTGTTTTCCTCATAGACTTTTGAGGTTGCCCAGGATAGCAGTGGGAGAGCCACATTCATGCGCTTGCAGACTGCTCATGTTGCTGTGGTAATGTCATATGTGTATATTCATCATCCTTTTAAAATGTAGACAATGTTTATGTCCAACTTAGGATTCAAATAAATGAGCTTAAAATTTGGTGTTTGTGATTTAGGTTTTTAAACCTATGTTCCCTTTTAAACATTTTATTTATTTATTGCATTTATTATTATCATCATCAATTTAAATTGTTGACCATGTACTTAGTACTGCTTAAGACAGGAAGACAGAATTTCTACCCAAGGGCATTCACTATGTGATAAGTATATACAGTATAGAATATAATTCTTTTCCACTTTTCCAATATTTTTCTTCTACAATTAGGAGATCTGCACTGGTTTTTCTTTTTTGAGAAGATATCATGTAGTAGACTGGCTATGTAGCTGAGGAAGACTTGGAATTTCCGATCCTTCTGCTCTCACCTTCGAAGTGCTTAGATTACAGATGTGGGCCACCATACCTGGTTTATGTGGTGCTGGGATCAAATCCAGGGCTTTGTGCATCCTAGGCAAGCACTCTATCACCTGAGCTATATCCCCAACAAGAAATTTTAACTTCTAAAGATATGTTCCTAATGTTTTTCTGTAGAGAACCTGCCATCAGAATATTCTGAAAAGAAAAATGAAGATTTTTTTTTGCCACTAATATGCTTTTGGTTTAAACCTATTACAATGTTTAATTAAATATACACTTTTTCAATGATAGTGTTTCAGTGTCTTAAAGACATTTTTTGATTAGTGTCTCAGTAGTGCAAAATGTTAGGCTTTTCCTGTTGCATATAGGATATAAACCAATAGTTAAATAGAATCATACAAATCTGAGAGTGGAAAGTCAACTCTGAACTCCTTCAGAGGGTAGAAATGATCCTGCTTAACCTATATGTTTAGACCAGTGCTTAGTAAATATCTGTAGATCAAAAAAATTTGTATTTTTATTTATGCGTATTTGTGTGTGCGTGAATGGTTTCAATGAGAAATGTCCCTGATAAGCTCAGGTATTTGAATACTTGGTCCCCAGGTTGGTTGTGCTGTTTGAGGAAGTTTAGGAAGTATATCCTTGCTGGAGGAAGTGTCACTGGGGGCAGGTTTGGAGAGTTTATAGCCTTGGCCCACCTCCAGTTTGATCCCTCAGCTTCCTGATGAGGTTGTGTGCTGTCATGACTCCCCCAGTATTATAGGCTCCCCCTCTGGAATCACAAGCCAAAATAAACTTCCATAAGGGCATCAACTCCCCTGGAGCTGGAGTTACAGATGGTTATTAGCTGCTGGATGTGGGTGCTGGAAATCAAACTCAGGTCCTCTGCAAGAGCAACAAGTGCCCTTAATCACTGAGCCATCTCTCTAGCACCATAAATGAATTTTTTTTTTTTTTTTCTTCTGGATCTCCCTGTAGCCCCAGCTGGCCTGGAACTCACTATGTAGAACAGGCTGACCTTGAACTCACAGAGATCCATCTGCCTCAGCCTCCCAAGTGCTGGGATTAAATGCATGTGCCTCCACACTGGGCTCGAGTAAATGAATTTTATGGTCTTTTATAGATGAAAACTATGAAATGAAGCAACTTGAGAGACTTCCTTGTGATAGATCTAAATTGCATTTTACTTACTAGTTTTTTGGTCTTTTTGAGACAGGGTTTCCCTGTAGCCCCAGCTGGCCTGGAATTGGCCAAGTAGACCAGGTTGACCTCCATCTCATAGAGATCCTCTTGCCTCTGCCTTCAAGTGCTGGGATTAAAGGTGTGCACCACCATGCCCAGCTCATTTTACTTATTGAGCAGAAGATTTTGCTTCACTTTTTGAGACAGGGTTTCTCTCTCTCTCTCTCTCTCTCTCTCTCTCTCTCTCTCTCTCCTTGCATGTAGCCAAGAATGGCTTTGAACTTGTTATCCTCTTGCCTTTACTTTCCAAGTGCTGGGCTTATGGTAATACACTACCATGCTCAGTTTATGTGGTACTGAGGATTGAACCCAGGACTTGTGCATACCTGACAAGCACTCTACCAACTGACCTACATCCGCAGCCAGAAATGTGTGTGCATGTGATGATGCATGTATATACATATATGTATGTATCTGTAGGTCAGGAGGTGGATACTGGGTATCTTCCTTAGTTGCTCCACACCTTCGATTTTTTTGAGTCAGGGTCTTTGACTGACCTAGAGCTCACTGATTCTGCTAGACTGGGCAGTGAACTCCAGGAATCTACCCATCTCTGCCACCCCAGTGCTGAGATTACAGGTACAACTGATGTGGCTGGCTTTTTTACGTGGATGGTGGGGATCCAAATTCAGGTCCTTATGCTTATATGGCAAGCACTTCAGCAAGAGCCATCTCCCCAGTTCCAAGAAACATTCTTTTTTTAAAAATATTTTATTATTTTTATTTTGTGTGTATGTGTGTATTGCTTGCATGTAGGTAGGTGCACCCATGTCGTGCAATGCCCGCAGAGGACAGAAGAGGCTGTTGGATCCACTGGAACTGGAGTTATGGACAGTTGTTAGCTGCCATGTAGGTTCTGGGATTTGAACCTGGGTCTTCTGCAAGAACAGCCAGTGTTCTTAAACACTGAGCTATCTCTCCAGCCCCCCCCTCCCAAGAAACATTCCTAAAAGCAATCATAAGACAGGTTTGTTATTAGGCTATTGACAAATATTTCAGTACAATACACTTTTTTAACATTTTAAATCTTTAACATTTTCTAATCTTAAGTGGCCTAATAAAAAAAGAGCTAAGAAGCCATGAGACAACTTATTTGAGGTGTTTTTCATTTTAGAGGCCATTTCTTCTTTTTTACTTATTTATTTAATAACCACATACTTAGAAGAAGCATTTCATTAGAACAGCATTGACATATTCAATAACAATTTCCTAAGCTAAGATGCATCTCTTTTAAAACTGCTGTAAATTTTTAGGTTTACAGTTGAATTTTTACAGTTATACAATATTGTACTCAGTATAAACCCTATAAGACATAAATTAAATGACATTTTAACCTTTAAAAAAGATCTCCATTTCATTATTAAAATACACAGTTTCATACAGAAATTCTTTTTCAATGCAATTGACATTGGATGTTTGCACATGCATTTCTAATCTCTAAATATCTGATTATTACCAGTCACTGTTGGTTACTTTCTGAGCTTCTAGGCATCTGAGCATGGATATAAAGTCATCAGGTAGATTTCAATGGTAATGTTTTTCACA